TGCAGAATGGCAGAGGCAGCATTATGATGTGGGAACTCATTTAATCCAGGAAAAACTAACATGTAACTGTAGTTTGTTCTCTGTAGTTTGCTCCTGTGTAGTTTGTTCTCTGTAGTTACCCTTGTATCCCTGCTCGGCCTCCCTCAGGTCGATCTTGGTGACGGGTTTGAAGTCGACGTCCCAGAGCCGGATGCAGCCGTCTCTGCCTCCGGTGGCGAATCCTTCCTCACAGGAAAACAAGCTGAAGATCCCGGCCTGGAGGAAACATTCAGGGAAACTACACAATCTGAAGGAAAACTGCGACTTTAAAAATAAACCCTTATAATGTTTCAGACACATAAATCGCCTGGAGTTCGTTTGTCTCTGAAGGTTAAAGCTGCGTCTCCATGGCGACGGCAGCTCACCCCGTGGGCCGACTGGACCGTCCTCAGCAGCGTCAGGCCTCTCCACACGTAGACGTCTCCGTTGAGCGCGCCGGAGTACGTGACGTCATCTTTAGCCGACGCCACACACAGGATGGTCTGCAGGTCGCCCGTCTTCCCGAAGATCCCTCGCTTCGGCGTCAGCGCGTTCCCACAGAGCGACCAGAACTACCGGGACAAACAGAACCGCTGGTTCTGACAGCCGGAACGCCCAGGAAACTTCACAGGATCTTTAAGGTTTTATTTTAAAATCATTTTAAACTACAGACACACAGTAACGTCGCTATCGGCCGATAAAACTGGGCTGATACTAAAAACTGATACTTATTATATGGAATCCATCCATGTTCTGTACACCCTAACCCCCCTCCAGGCCACGCCCAACCGTCTCTTGGCTCCGCCCATTTTTGGTGATTTATCTTTAAAATGTTTTTGGGGGCGGGGCTAAACCGGTCCCAGTTTGACTCTGAGATCAGAACCCATCCACGTCTCACCTTGATGTGTTTGACGCCACAGCTCACCAGGCGGTTCTGCTGAAACGGATCCCAGCAAACATCAAAGATCTGCAGAGACAGAGAAGCTGTTAGAACCCTTCAGAACCCTTCAGAACCCTTCAGAACCGGCTCCTACCCGGTCCGAGTGTCCGCTGGCTGAGGCCAGGATCTTCCCTTTCCTCCACTCCCAGATACAAACTGTGTTCTTGGCGTCCAACCCGACCGACACCAACCGCTGCAGAGAAACAGAGATCAGTTCAGGTTCTGCTGGGTCAGAACCTGAACTGCTTCCTCACACACAGACACACAGACACACACACACACACACACACACACACACACACACACACACACAGCCGTCAGACTTGATAATAAACCTGAACTCTGATTGATTACTAACTGGATTTATGATTATTTTATTGTTCTGGTTCGGTTCCGGCTGTTTGGGTCGGCGCCAGAGGGAAACAGATGAAGCAGCAGGAAACGGTTCTGATCCATAAAAGGTTTTTATCTGGAGATGAATGTTCTTCATCATCCTGACAGAGTTCTGGTTTTGGTCCAGCAGACAGGAAGCTGCTGGACCAGAACCGGGTCCAGGAAACTTTCTGGGTTTGCTCTTCTTTGCTTCGCCGGATGAAACGACTGAGGGAAGAAAAACCGTTTTCAGTTGAAAACTTGAGACACCAGAGAAATGGAGCAGCAGGCAGAACCGGTACGGGTTCTGGTTCTGTTCAGGTCATAAATCCAGTTCCCTCATACTGGTTTGGGACCAGAACCACCAACTGGACCAACAGAAGATGAATCTGACCCCCAGCTTGGTGTCCTAACCTGACCTTTGACCTTCAGCTAAAGAATAAAAACGATGCAGAGGAAGAAAAACCTCTGATGGTTAATCAATAACTAATCAATAAAAATATCAGTTTGTTTCTTTAAATCACACCTGAAATCATTTTCAGCTCCATAAAGGTCAAAGGTTATTTTATCCTTTTCATAAGTTATTAACAGTTTTATTCTGCATCTGGTTGATTCTCCTGTCTTTAATGTTACACAACTGTGTCTGTGTGTGTCTGTGTGTGTGTGTGTCAGTGTGTGTGTGTGTCTGTGTGTGTGTGTCTGTGTGTGTCTGTGTGTCTGTGTGTGTGTCTGTGTGTGTCTGTGTGTGTGTGTCTGTGTGTGTGTGTGTGTGTGTGTCTGTGTGTGTGTGTGTGTGTGTGTGTGTGTCTGTGTGTGTGTGTGTGTGTCTGTCTGTGTCTGTGTGTGTCTGTGTGTCTGTGTGTCTGTGTGTGTGTGTCTGTGTGTGTCTGTGTGTGTCTGTGTGTGTGTGTGTGTGTGTGTCAGTGTGTGTCTGTGTGTGTGTGTGTGTCTGTGTGTGTGTGTGTGTGTGTCAGTGTGTCTGTGTGTGTCAGTGTGTGTGTGTGTCAGTGTGTGTGTGTGTGTCAGTGTGTGTGTGACCTGTCCGTCGGCGCTGAAGCCCAGGCAGGCGATGCCGTGTGTGTGTCCGTCCCTCAGCAGGCTGACTGTCTGCGCGGTGAACGAGTCCCACACACACACATAGGGATCCCTGCCCACCTGGCCTGTGGCCACCAGGAGGCGCTCTGGGTGCAGCGCCAGGCTGAAACACAGAACGTTTAAATAAACGGTGAATTTAATAAATAAAGGTTAATCCGTCTCAAACTGGAACAACATGATGACAAATGTGTGAAAACATTTTCTTTATAAAAGTCACAAACTTTAAATGTTCTGATTAGTTCGATGAAATTGACTGAAACCTCGGCAGGCCGACGGTCAGAGGAGGAATCATGATGTGGGACCGGATCAGCAGAACTTTTCCTGATCCGTTTGATCAGAAGAGTTTCTGTTTCGCTTCAGATAAAAACCTGGAGATGATCCGATTCAAACCCTGACCTTCAGCTCGGACCTGAAGGTCATCTGGAAACAAGCTGCTGGTTCAGATGAAGATACGCTCCTCTTCATCACATCAACAACCAATCAGATCAGCTCATTTCCTGTCAGGTGTGTCAGGCTCAAAGCTTCATCGATCACGCACACACACACTTCTGCTCCTCTCCTCACGCTCCCAGCCAATCAGTGAGCTGCCACGTTGTCATGACAACCATCTCAGGCAGGGCGGCGAAGCTGTGAAGGTCAAACACGATGAGCAGCTCCAGACAACACCTGCAGCCTCCATGTTGTTTTACTTCGGGAACCAATCAGACGCCTCCGTTCTGCTGGACTCAGCACAACGTCTGGGCTTTTATTTTGGAAACTAAATCTACCTCTGGCTTCCTGTGGCATCAATTCAGACGGTTTCCTCTTTAAGAAAATTATTTAACTTCAGATGATTAATCTGCTGAGAAAAACCGGATCCAGAACCAGATTCTAATCCAGTTCAGCCAGAGTGGAACCAGACTGGAACCGGACTGGAACCAGGAACCGGACGGGAACCAGGAACCAGACTGGAACAGGAGTGGAAACAGGAACCGGACTGGAACTGGAACGGAACTGGACTGGAACTGGACTGGAACCAGGAACCGGACTGGAACCAGGAACCGGACTGGAACAGGAGTGGAAACAGGAACCAGACTGGAACCGGAGCAGCAGGTTATTAATAAATACCTCAGGAAACATAAACGTCTGATTTTAAATTCATGGCGTTTTCTGTCATATTCATGTTAACGTGTTGATGTTGAGTTAATCGGGAGTTAAATAAACACCAGAAAACAGTTTGAAATAACTAATGAAACCCGGATCAGAACCACAGAACCGAATCCGTAACGACCCAATAAAGATAAAAAACATTAAAATATTGATAGAAGAAAAATTGCAAGTCTTAAAGTGAAGGACTCTGATTTAACTAAAACATGATGCAAAGGTTTTTGTCTTATTAAAAGTTGGTCTCCATGGAAACAGCATGAAGCTGCAGTTTAATGGCAGAAATGAAAAAATCCTGGAGGCGAATCAGAAACAGACGGGAGGAGGAAAAAACTCATTTCTGCTAAATGTGAAAACAGAAACTGGAGGAGCAAAAGAAATAAAACAAACTAAATAATTATTTACAATTCATCAGAAATGATCAAACGGCCCATAATACAATGAAAAACAGAGAATAAAATAATTAAAACAGATTCTGGATTTCTTTAACCTCCACAACAAGCTTCACTATGAGACGCTCTGTAACCTGGTGATGACTGTGACCTCTGACCTCTGACCTGCTGGTGTGTTTGCATAGGAAATCAGCCGACCTGCCGAAACATGAGCAGGTTGATTTACTCTGAATCAGAACAAAGGAACTCCGCACACACACACACACCTACACACACACACACACCCACACACCCACACCCACACACACACACCCATACACACACACACACACACACACCCACACACACACACACCCACACACACCTACACACACACACACACACCCACACACACACACACACACACACACACACACACACACACACACACACACACACACACACACACCCACACACACACACACACACACACACACTTTTCTCTCAACACGTCTGAAAAAATGTAATAAAATAAAATCACTTCATTATAGAAAAATGTGAGTTTTTTTGTTTCCGTTGAATTAATTTATTCTCTGTTGTGAAACAAACATGATCATTTTACCTGAACACAATCTGTCCCAGAAGCTGAATCTGGGTCAGAACCGGGTCACCAGCAGAACCTTGACAGCCCAGTCCGACCAGCAGGGGGAACTGGTTCCAGTTCCTGTAACTCTGCTGGGTCAGCAAACACAGAACCCGTCTGTGGTTCTGCTGGTTCAGTTTGTTCATCCAAGCAGAACCAGGACCATAATGTCGCTGCGCTCTGCCTGCAGGCGGCAGCAGGAAGTGGGACAGGAGAGAAAAGAACCGGCGCCGCTCTGATTACGACCAAACATCAGAAAGATTCAACGTTTATCATCCAGACAAACTGACCTTTGACCTCAGCATCATGCAGCATCACAAACCAGAGGAAAACTCTCCACCTTTCAGCCTCAGCATGGAGGTAAAGCATCAGTTACCACGGCAACCATCAGCAGAGGAGGAGGAGACGATGCTTCATCCTTAAATATGAAACAACTTATAAAAGCTCTGGAACTCCCTGGTGACCTTTAACCTCTAAATGTTTCAGTTCAGACAAACAGACAAAATCCTGCAGGAATCCAGAACCAGAACCAGAACCAGAACCCGGATCAAATGGTTCTGCTGTTTTATGTCTATACAGTGATCCCTCGTTTTTCGCGGGGTTGCGTTCTGAAAATAACCCGCGATTAGTGAAACCATGAAGTCGTTCCCTTTAGATTTTACAGTTTTAAATCCTCTACATTGAAACCAAAGAGCCAAACCTGTTTTCAGGTCAGTGGATGTGTGTGTTCATCAATCGGGCCTCCGGTCGGGTTTGCACTGATTCTGGACAGTTTTTTCCAGCAGGTATTCAAAGTTTTCAGCTTTCATCTCCTGAATGACCAATCTGAATTACTTATATTAAATACTTATATTTAAATACCGTAACGTCATTGGTGCACAGGTAGAGAAGCAGCTCACAGATTGTTTAGCCAATCAGGAAACAGAACACAATGCACTGTGAAAAAAACTGCTCTAAAACATCCACGAAGCAGCGAGACCGCGGAAGGCGAACCTCGATGCAGCGAAGGATGACTGTAGATGTTTAGTCTGCAGGAACTGAAGCAGGTTAAACTGCTGCTGCAGCATCAATGATTCAGTAATAAATGTGAACTGATGAAGGTTCATCAATTCATCCAGTTTATCGGAAACGTTTCAGGCTGGAGAAACTTCAGATTTAAAATCATCTGAAATCAGAAATCTGTCAATAAAAATCATAAGTTTTATCAGTTTCTCAGAGCAGCAGATGGACCCGATCCAGATCCTGGTTCTGGTTCTGAAAACCTGCAGTCGGCGGAGAGGGAAGAACTGGAACAAACTCCAAGCCAACAGTCATATCAGAGCGCAGAGCTGGCCGAGGCAGCTTCCAGCTTCTCAATTAGTCTGAAACACACACACACACTGAAACACACAGAAACACACACACACACACAGAAACACACTGAAACACACAGAAACACGCAGAAACACGCAGAAACACACACACACACACACACACACAGAAACACACAGAAACACACACACACACACAGAAACACACTGAAACACACACACACACACACACAGAAACACACAGAAACACACAGAAACACACAGAAACACACACACACACACACAGAAACACACTGAAACACACAGAAACACGCAGAAACACACACACACACACAGAAACACACTGAAACACACAGAAACACGCAGAAACACGCACACGTTACACCCCAGGCTGCAGCTGAGAAAACAGTCCGAGCCGCCTGCTGCTGTGATGACTCACAGCCTGAACACCAGGTGTGTGTGTGTTTCAGTGTGTGTGTGTGTGTGTGTGTGTTTCAGTGTGTGTGTGTGTGTGTGTGTTTCAGTGTGTGTGTGTGTGTGTGTTTCCATGAATGAATTGCCTCCCTGAATCATCGGCCTCATCTAGAAAATCCCTCTGCTGTTTTTCTGCTCAACATTTTTCTGAACTTCAGAATCAAATTCCATCAAATTTTCTCTGAATTTCAGGAATAAAATTAATTTAATTCAAATTTATTTAATCAACGACGGAGCAAAAAACAAAGTTAGATCTGGAAATAACAACAAACATTTTATATGAAGGTTTTCCAGATACAATTTAAAAACCCAGTTCCTGTCTCACACACACACACTCACACACACACGCCCATAATTTCCTCAACTATAAACATGTAGGAAGCCGATTCTCCTTCATAAAGTCGATTCATTTTATTTTTCCTGTTGATTAAACTCTTAATCTCTCAGATCTGTTCTCATTTTTCATTCTGAGTAAAATAATTTTCCTCCTGAATCTTTTCACATGCAGCTCTGATGAGTTTTATTCATGAATAAAGTTCATATTCACAGGGTTTGAAATGATTATTATTATAACTGATAATTAAACTAATTAAAGTTCCTCATCAGCTGCTTATAATCTGAAATAATCCTGAACTCTAATTTTCTCTGAATTCTCAGCCTGAATCAGTCTAAATCCATCGTCTGTGATTTTCCTGCTGGTTTTATTCAAAGTGTTTTTTTCTGTGGATGTGACAAAGATGATCGGCCTAGTCAAAGCTCTGAAAACCAGCAGGGAGAATTTAAATCAGCAAAAAAATCACAAAATAACCAAATCTGGAGCAAAAACTGACAGAAAAGCAACAAAGCAGGAGATAATCTGGAGTCAGATTGAAACTGTGAGTTCAGACCTGGAATAAAAGACGAGCAAAGAGAGAGAGAAAATAATCCAGAAAAATCCAGAAACATCAGAACCAAACGGTTCAGAACAGATGGGATCAATCTGCTGTGATGGCGGGATCTGGATTAGAATCTGGATCAGAATCTGGATCAATCCTAGAATTAGAATCCAAATCAGAGTCCGGATCAACATCAGGAACCTGATCAGGATCCAGATTCATCGGTACCGGGTCCAGGCGGCGGATTGGAGAGTAAATTAGTTTTTCTGTTATTTTCATTAGAAAATCAATAAACATTAAATAATAAGATAAAGTGAGCTGCTGATCGTTTAACAGAATCATTTCATTTACCTGCTGAACTGCAGATTAATAATAAAAGTGCTCCAGGTGTGCTCCGCCTACCTGATGATGTCATCGTTGTGGCCCAGGTAGAACCGCTGGCTGTGCTCGCGGGTGTTGTAGACCACGCCCACTCCGGCCACGAAGTAGACCAGCTCCTTCCCGGCCGTGTAGAACAGGTTGTTCCGGCACTGGTGGCCCCGGTACCCGTAGACCCAGTCCAGTCTGAGGCGGCAGGCCGGGGCGCTGCGCTCCGACATGCCGGCCCGCCGGGCCCGCCCCCTCCTGGTTCTGGTTCTGGGTGTGACTCTGGAACCGGACCGGATTAAGAGTTCTATCAGTGTAGATGGGTCCGGTTCTGGTCTTACTCAAAAAGTTTTCTCTTATTCTTCACCATGTTTCAGTTAAATCAGATTAAAGTTCGGAGGAAGTGGAACCAGAACCGAGGTCCAGTCTGGCTCCTCCAGTCATGATAAACGGGTCAGGTTCTGGACGGAAACAGTTAAACTTCTGATCTGAAGCCAGAGGAAGTTCTGGAGGATCATCTTCATCCTCCTGCTCATCAAATCAACTTTTTCCTGAATCAGAGGAATTCCGGTTTTCCTGTTTCCCGTCCAGATTCCTGATGCTGGAAAAATAATCCCGCTGCAGGATAATCCTCATCCTCTCCCCGAGCGGCGCTCGCTCCTCCCGGATCCCGGCTCACATCCTCCCCACCGGGAAACCGGAGGAGAAAATCACCCCCGGAGCACCGGAGGCGGCGGCTGTCCGCCGGGAAACCACCGGAGCGCCAGGCAGCGACACAGACAAACGTTTAATCCCCGCAGATGGTGCACGCTGAGCGGGCAGAGGAGGAGAGCAGCCCCCGGAGATGAGCGCTGGTTCCCGGCCTGACGAGCGCATCGCCCCGCTGCTGCCGCGCCCAAAGAGCCGCAGCCGGACCGCAGCTCGGATCCGGACCGGAGGGTTCTGGTCCGGTGGAGACCCTCCCTGAGCAGACTGATGGAGAGCTGATGGGCTCACGCTGACGGGCACGCGCCTTCAGAGGCACGCCCGCGCGCACATCCGGTTATTAAAAATAAAAGCAAATAAAAAAGAAAACACAGGTTCACGAGAAAAACACAACAAATAAAACATGTAATTAATCCAAGTGTTTATGAAATAATTTAAAAAAATAATTTGGAGGTTTTGTGTTATTTAACCTATTTCTTGAATTATATGCAGCTATTTCTTAAAATAAACTTGTAAAAACGAAGGGGAGCAAAATATTTTACCAGGCAATCCCCCACCCCCCCCCCCAGATCGACAGCCTTCAGCTTAAAAGCTGAATCATATGAACTTCTTCGTGTGGTTTGAGTTTGAAGACATTTCTCCGCAGTGCCTGCTGGTAGCATGTGTTTTTTCTAAATTAAAATCAGCGCTTTCTTCTTTGATTGCCAATTTTGACTTCCAATGATTCACTTTCTGCTAAAGCGCCCCCTGGTGGTTGAAGAAAAATCCACAGAAAAGCCCACCGGGCTACAAGCGGCATGGTTCAAAGCGTGTGGGGGGGGAGTAGCGGCTTATAGCCTGAAAAATACGGTACTTCTAAAACCGTTTTTGCCTAATTACAATTTAAATGTTTTACTTGACCAAACTAAGTTTAAAATAACAAAAATAGATTAAATAAATTAATCTGATTTTAAATTTTATTTATTAAAATCTAAAAAGTTTCCAACCCAACCTGCTCTGAGGACAAATAATGGCCCTGAATGATAAATCATGAGTTAATTTCATTTTAAACATCCAGACCTGATTATTGACAACAGCAGAAAATTAAGAGCTAAACTGAAGCTGGAAGAGCAACAAATAAAAACAGGCAGACCGAGGAAACGTCCTGTGGACTGAAGAGAGACAGATTTTTCTGGAAGGTTTTGGTGTAAAATGAACCCAGCGTTCAGAACCAGAACATACCTACAGCCAGACATGGTGGTGGCAGAGTGGTGATCTGGGCTGCTGTGCAGCTTCAGGTTCTGGATGAATTGCAGTTGAGTTCTGGCAGTGATTCTTGAGAATAGGGACAAAATGATTTTAATTTTCCCTTTTTTATTATTATTATTTCTCAACTTTATGTATGCAAATATGACAAATAATGTTTAGGAAATGTAAAGATGCCAAGGTGCTAAAAATTGCTAATGCTAAAAATTTAATTTAATCAACCTGACCCAGAACTTTGTCATCACCATCTGACAAAAATAAATATAAAATGATTTTTAAAACACCCTATTAGTCTTATTTTCACTCATTTTACAGACAATTGCTTCTCAAGAAACAAAATAAATATTATTTAAACTCTGACGGAGTTGACAGTGCATGACGGAGTTGACACAGAGCTGAAGGTGGTGACAAACTAGTGAGTAAAATATAATTGTCATAATATATAATTTTAGT